CGGCCCCTCACGGGACACAGGATGCAGGCTACAGGACAAAGTCCAAACTCCTTGGGATGGCACCCAGCAAGGCAGTCCACATGCACCACCTGGGGTCTCCCCCTTCCCTCGGTTACCCCAAGTCCAGCCATGCCCAGCTTCCCTGCAACTCCCCCAAACCACCTCTGTGCCTTTGTCCACACAGTTCCCTCTTCCTAGAATGCGCTTCCCTGCTCTCTCTGCCTCAATGTTTTAAGTTGTTGTTCCTGTGCCACCTTCTGGAAACTCTCCCTGAACTCCCCCACACTCCGCCTTCATGCTGCCTTGGTAGCAGCGTGACAGCCGGCACCCAGGGAGCCCGGTGTCTGTGTCAGGCTGCGCCGGTGCCTGGCATCGCACTGACTAGTTTAATCCTCACAGCTACCCAGGAGGGTTGTCATCACCTCATTTAGCAGAAGAGAAACCTGAGGCATAGAGAGGTTACGTGACTCACCCAGGAGTCACACAATCAGTGAGCAGCAGAGTTGGCAAGTGGGCCGGGCTGGGTGCCCTTGTGGCCCTCCACCTGCACTGAGCGTATTGGCTGGCCTCCCTGGTACCAGGGCCTGCAGAGCTCCAAGATTTGGAGTCCCAAGGGTGTGGCTCACCTTATTCCTGCAGGGCCTCCCATACCAGCAAGGGCCAAAATCAGGCTGACGGGCTACAGGGCTGGGATGGCACCAAGAAGGGGCAGCCAGCCAGGACTGCCAGGGAACGCGAAAGGGATGACTGTGTTGGTTTGGCAGACAAGGACCCCAGCTACTTCCTGTACACCTACTGTGTGCCTGACCTGGAGGTAAGTGGCTGGATGCCAGGGGCAAGAAGCCTACCCTAGGGGGGGCGGGTGGAGAGCTATGGATGGGGCTCAGAGTCTGGCTTCTGACAGGGAGACAGCAGACGGGGATCTCCAGGAAAGAAGTGGCATTTGGGCCCAGCCTATGAGATGAAGGGGATCTAGGCAGATGGAGCTGGGGAGGGAACTCCAGGGGGCTGGAGCAGCTTGAGCAAAGGCCCGGAGGTGGGAGTGTGGGGAGTGTGGAGAAGAGTCACTGGTTTTGGCTGAAGCATGAGGCAAGTGGGGCAGCAGCAGTGGATTCGTGGGGACCCTGCGAGAGAGATGGAAGCAGGGAGAGCGGCCCACAGCAAGGAGGGGTTAACCTGGAGGGAGGGGTTGTGTGACTGCGGCCCAGGTACCAAGCTTGCACCTGTAGGAAAGAGTGCACCTTCCCAGATTGCTGAGAGGATTAAACCAGACCCCGGTTTGCAGTGCCTGGGGTCTGGGGAGAGGGGTGGACCCTCCCGGGGACTCCCGTGGTGCCAAGGAGAGAAGTAGCTCCCTGGGGCATCTGTCTCCGTATCTGCCCATGCCACCCCGCCCCACCCAACCTCCCACCCCAGGCCTCCCAGCCCATGTGTCTTCAGAATGGTCACCTCACAGGGATGCGAGAGGCAGAGCCCCAAACGGAGCAGGTCCCTGCCTCAGTTTCCTCATGCGGGTAGTGGACAGGCGGGCTGGCTGGGTGCTTTCTCCAGGCCTGGTTATTCGGAAGGGTTGGGGGAGCGGAAATTCAGAGGGGCAGGGTGCAGGGCAAGAAGGAGGGGGCCTGAAGGAAGCAGAGCAGGGAGTGGGCAGGGAGAGGGGAGGGAGGGGGCTAGTCCCCTAGGCAGCCAAGATCCTCCTCACTTCCCAGCTCCTAGGACCCCAGGTGTAGCCAAAGCCCTTGCTCCCAGTCCCCCCCCCCATCCCCGCTGTAGTCACCCAGGGTGGAGTGGGGGGAATGGAGAAGTTGGAAGAAGAGCCCCCACAAGTCTGCCAAGACAGCAGTGCTCAGGCCTGGAGCAGGCCCCACCGGGAACACGCCCCCCTGTTGCTTCCAGGGGGGCCCGGCGAGAAGTGGAGAAGCGCAGTGCCCTCACACGGGGGAGCCCTTGGTTCGCCAGGAGCTGCGGGTGGCCCAGGGGAGTCATAGCCAGTTCTTCAGGGGAGAATCACTCACCTTCAGCCCCCCGAACCTTCTCACCGGTTCCGGCTCCTCATCTCTCACGGGGACCCTGGGACCTCGGCTCAGCCTCCCTTGCCCGCAGCACCGGCCAGAGGCCACTCCAGCGCGGTTCCATGCTGCCCAGCCTCTGGGATGCCCCCACCTGGGCTCCAGTCTCTGGGCGCTGTCATGGCCTGTTTGCTTGGTGCCCCCCCTTCTCTGCACCACCACCAGCCCCGTGGGCGGGAACGAAGTCTGATTCATCTTGGCCATTCCAGAAATGAGCCCAGGAGTCCCGCCCACAGGCAGCTGAGTTGGCAGCGGGGAGGGACAAGTAGGGCCATTTGCCCCTAAGACCCTGGCACCTGTTTCTCTGTTGGCACACCCATGGCAAGGCTGGGCTCATTGAGGGTCTGGATCCGGGGGGGGGGGGGCCGGCGAGAAGTGGAGAAGCGCAGTGCCCTCACACGGGGGAGCCCTTGGTTGGCCAGGAGCTGCGGGTGTCCAGGATCAACTGAGGGAAGCTTTCTGCCTCCCACCATAAAGGGCTCAGGACTCTCTCCAGCCTCCCCACTGCTCTGAAAACAAAAGTTCCTGCCCAGGGGTGCCAGGCCTTGGTTTCTGGGTCCCAACTATGACCACCCTCTACCCTGCAAGGCCAACCCTATGCTCTGCTCCAGATAGGCTTTGCTGAAGTTCCCTGGCCACCACCTGACCCCAGCAGAAGTAGCTCAAGTAGAGGAATTACCTTCTTGTTGCCTTCAAGAACAGCAAAGGTCAGCCCCCGGCGTGGGTGCACTCCCAAGCCAAAGAGAAGCAGTTTGGGGGTTATCTCAGATGTCTCCGTTACCTACCCCATGACCCCCCTCCATGAGCCCAGGGGTCCCAGGGCCAACAGAGGTAGTAAACCCAGATCTGGCTGAACCCGCAGGTGATGACAAGTGTCAGCTGGCACATGGCAATAAGCTGTGCCACCTAAATCCCCCTCCCGTCCCGGTGCCTGAAATCCTTCCCCTGGGCTCCTGGCCAGAAGTCAGCCTGGCTGACCCTCCTCGGAAACCTCTACCCTGGGTCGGTTCTCAGTCAGCGCCAGGGAATGCCAGGCGCCTGGGCTCTCAGGGACTCGGGTCTGGCCTAGGCCCGGTGTTTGCGGGACCCAGAAAGAGGAGCCGAATTAGAGACGGGGCTGAGTGGGCCTCCGAGCTGGCTTCCTTCTGCGGACAGACGGCAGCACAGGGCAGGAGGCACAGCGCCCCTCAGTCCCCAACCTCCTGCCAAGCCCCCCACTGTCTCCGCCTGCTATTCTCAGACAGAGGGTCAAGTTGGTTTACTGGAAAGACACATGGTTCTCATTTTAATTAATTAAAGAAAAATCTAATCACTGCATTAAACTTCTCATTACTCCACTTGAATACCCGTTAAGTAAATTTAATTACCAGAGGATCGGGTTTCCCAGCCTCTTTCATTAGCTTTTGAGAAGAGGGGGGGAGGGTGGAGAGCAGAACAATGCCATCCCCGACCCGCGGGGGCCGGGGGCCGCTGCCCTGGGACCACCATGGTCAGGTTTTGGTGTCTGCCCAGGGACAGGCTTGGCCCTGGGCCTGGGGGAGACCCCACCCCACCTGCCCCTAAGGAGGGGAAGGGTTGGCATTTGGAGGCAGTCAGCACTGGCCGCTCTTGGTTATTTTTACCCCACCTCCTTCTAAGAGAATTTGAGGCTGCTAAGAACAGCACAGTGGAAAAATAAGACAAAAAATCAGACCAAGGGGAAAATGAAAGAGAAGGCAGAGACAGGCCATTGCAGTCTATGGTGCACGCCACAGCACCCAAGCACTTGTCAGGATGGGGCCACGAGCCAGCCTTGAGTTTCCCAGCAGCCAAGGCAAAGAGGGCAACTTTGGAACGGATGCAGCAACCAACCGAGCATTCCTGAGGAAAATCATCCTTGGCCTTGGTCTTTCAATCTATAAAAAGGCTGGAGCAGGAGAACGGACTGAAAGAGATGACCCCTGGCTGCACTCTGAGCAGAGGCTTCCTGCAGAAGGAGGAACCTTTCCAGGGCTTGAAAAAGAGAACAGGGCAGAGAGCAAGGAAGGGCATACAGGCAGGAGAACTGCATGACCGAGGCTTAAGGGGGAGAAGAGAAACTATTAGAGGAGAAAGGCAGGGGCGCAGAAAAGGCAAAGGTGGAAAATGCTTCCCCAAAGGAAAAGCTGAAGGTCCACCCCGCCTCCAGACCCTAGGCCAGGCAGCCCAGGTCCCCAGCTCAGAAGGGGAGCCAAAGCCAGACGAGGCAGGAGGGCAGGGACCCCAGGAGCGGCCAGGCTGGGCACACGAGGTCCTGTTTCCCTGTGCGAAATGGTGCCATCCAGATCTCGATGGCTGCCCGGGTATGGGCTGCTTCAGCTGAATGTTCCCCCTTCTTCCAAGAACTGTCCTCCACACGTGGAGACCACCTCATCCAAATAGTACAGGCACCCAGAAAGGGCCCACCGAAAATCACTGACTGATGCAGGGATGCAGCCTTCCTGTGCATGGGGTTATTGTGTGCTGTGAACTATATTCCAAGGCGAACTGGACCAGCTCTCACCTGAGACCAGGATCCCACTGGCACCCGATCCTGGCCCTAATCTCTTCTCTCCTTCCTTGTAACAAGCCCTTGTCTCAGGTTCTGCTTCGAGGGAATCCTGACTGACAATACTCCCTGGGCAGCTCCCAAACTCCCTGGGAGGGAAGGGGAAGGCAGGGGTATAGGCAGAAACTAGGCCCTGGTCACATTGTTTGAAACACTGGATCAAGCTCTGCCTGAAGTCCTACCACCGTATCCATTAATTACGAGTTGACAGTTACATTTTATTGCAAAGGTATTTTGCTACTGCAACCGAAGGGATCCCAACAGATAGAGTGTTCAGAAAAGTTTTCCTCCTGTCTCAGGGACGGTGGCGGCTAGGGCAGGCAGTGTGCAGGGCCCAGGGAGTGGGCCGATAGGGATCCACCTACCGTGACTGCTACTGTGCCCAGGCGAGTCCCAAAGCTTGAGGAGTCCCCCCGAGCCCAGGCTGGGGCGAGAAATAGGCTTGGGAGCTGGTCTGGGGCTGAACAGGGCCAGCGCCCTGGAGATGCAGGTGGGAGGCTGTGTGGCCCCGCAGACTCAAGGAAGCCAGGTCATGGTCTTGAGATGTCTAGAAAACAAGAGAAACATGAGTGAGCGATACAGTTCCCAAGGGGAGCGAGAGGCCTCTGGACTGAGGTGGCGAGGCAGGATCCTTAGAGTCGGCTAAGATCAGCCAGGTTTGTCACTTCCTCATCCTCGTGTGTCACTTCCTTCCCCAGCCTCCCCTCCCACCCCCTGCAGCACCTCCAGGATGCACACAATCATCTGGAGAGGTCTGCCCTCTGAAGAGTAGGGAAGGTCTGGGGGCCAGCATGCTGGGAACCCATATTTTGCAGACAAGAGTGTGTGTGCTTGGTGGAGGGGAGGAGGCAGAGGAGGCTGGGAGATGGGAGGCTTCATCCTCAGTGCTGTGGACCCAGGTCTCCTAGGGAGTGTCCAGAACTAGGCCCAGGAATTAAGCAGAGGGAAGCAGCCATCTTGTTGACCTGTAGTCTAGCCTTCTGAAAGAATGCCAGAGGGGACGGTGGCTAACCCGAGGGACGAGCAGTGGTGTGTCGGTGGGTGCAGAGAGAAGGCCTTCCAGTGCCCTCCACCCTGAGGAATGAGGAGCCCACCATTCTGCCTTCACGCCACTCTTCCATGGGCACTGTCCCTGGCTTTGGGAAGAAAAGTAGGGTGTGGATATCTTAAACTCAAGACACTCACAGAGGTCCTGACCTTTGGAAAGTCACTAAGCTTGTCTGGGCCCCTCGTCAGTCCCCTGATCTACAGGCGGCTCTTTTTCTTCTTGGCTCAGAAAAGGAACAATGACAGACTCCAAATCACAGCACATGAGGGCTGATTGGATCTTGAGAAATGTCTCTAGCTCGGTGCAGTCCAGGAGAGCTTTCTGCAGGGGTGGAATGTTCTATATGTGCCCTGTCCAGTATGGGATGTGCGCAACACGTGGCTATTGAGACATGCAGAGTATGACAAAGAAACTGATTTCTTATTTTATTAATTTATATTTAAATCTTTTTAAATTTTTTATATTCGTTTTTTACTGTTTTACATCATTGTTCATTTTTAAACAATATTTGCTTCCCCCCCACCCCCTCAGGTGTAGTCCCATAGTTTCCTTCCCCAATGCACCCGTGCACCATCACCTCAGTCCCCTGTGAGGGAGCTCCCTCCCTCCCTCCCTCCCTCTCCTGCCTCCATCCCTGCAGGATGTCTCTGGTTTATAATTGTCCGTTTTTGCTTTGTTGTGTTTTGTACTGTTATTTTTTTACACTAATGTCTTATTTGCTTCCCCTATATTCCTGCTATAAGGGAAACCATCTGATACTTTTCTTTTTCCTTCTGGCTTATTTCACTGAGTTCACTGAGCATAATTCCTTCTAGCTCCATCCACGTTGCTGTGAATGGCATGAGTTTATCTTTTTTGATTGCTGACTAATATTCCGTTGTGTATATATACCACATCTTCCTGATCCAGTCATCTATTTTTGGGCAGACAAAGATATATTTAATTCTTAATAGGCTGGTGGTGGCTACCACACCAACAGTACAGCTCTGCACCTACCCTGGCCACAGAGAAAACTGAAGTCCAGAGGGAAGAAGGGAATATTCTAAGGTCACACAGCAAGAGAGTGACAACGGCAAACCAGAACTGGTTCCTCCAGTCCCTCATCCCAGCTCTCCACAGCACCCCCTGCCCTTCCATGATGGCCTTGTTCTCCCATCATCCTCAGCCCTGTCACACTGCCTGGCCTGTCACACTCCCCACTCTGTGGTTTCCTGGAACACAGTGCCAGGCCACATTTGAAGAGACCTACTTCTCCCATCCCAGTCATTGGCCCATTCCAGTCCCCTGACAAAGCAGCCTCGACGAATGTCCCTAAGGTGGCCCAGGGAAATCATCCATCAGAGAAAAGTGCTCTGGGAACAAAGCTGTTCTCTGTAAGGTTATTTATAATGGCAAGATGCTGGAAGCTGCGTAAACAAGCTGCAACAGAGATGACAAAATGCATCATAATGCCGCTGCGTGATGGAATATTACACAGCCATAAAAAATGATGAATGTGGAGACTGGGAGTGATATGCAGCTACGTTTACCTAACAATATTGAACACGGAAACCAGTGAAATAGATGAGGGTAATAGTGGGTAGGGCTCCACTGAGCCCACTGACATCCAGCAGCCCCAGGCCTCAGGGCAGCCCCAGGCCTCAGAGCTGAAGCTGAGAGACACCACATACATAGCCTTGGGACAGGAGGAGTCAGGGCCTGAACTCTTGATTTCTAACTCAAGAACAGTGCTCCACAGCTGCCTCTGAGCCAGGACGGTAGTGTTTGGGTGCCCTTTCTTTTTCACTTACACACTCATCTTATTTAGCAAACACATACTAAGCCTGGCACCTTTCAAAGTGCTTTATAAATGTTGACTCATGTAATTTGCCCAACAGCCATAAGAGGAAGCAATTATTAAGCCCTTGTTTTTAAGATGAGGCAACCGAGACACAGAGATTAAGTAACTGCCTAATGTCAAGGGTCACTTCTATTTCCCACACATTCTGCAAGGTTCCAACATTGCCTCTACAGGAAAAGAGCAGGAGGGTGGGGAGGGAACCTTGGGTGCCTTGTTGGGGGGGAGAAAGAGGTAGAAATGCTGATGGATGTGTATGCTTCCCTTTTTAAACTGATGGAAATTCTTTTTGTAACAATAGAAAGGAAACAATTCAAGAAATAAAATTAACGTATCAAAAAACAATACAAAAGAAGCACACACACAAAGATGAAAATTTATCAAAGGGGAGCTACTGATGCAGCCATGACCTTGACAGGGAATGCAATCCACCTCCTGGCAGCAACACTCCGCTCTAGGCTTCTCTGCCAGTTTCCTGACCCTGGACCACTCCCTCCTGCCTGGGTGAGATCCTCACCTCAGAGGCCAGCGGGGAGCAGCCCTGCGTGTGCGTGGACTTCAATAAACACCTCCGGGCCCCCACAGCACAGCCCTGCCGCCGGCGGGACTCCAGGCACTGGCCAGGACTGAACTCCACAGGCCAGGCATGCAGGTAGAACACTTGAGGCCCCCAAAGTAAAAGACCTTGCCAGAGGTGACACAGGAACCTCACACGTGCACATGTGAGTGTGCCTCCACAGGGCCCATGTGTACATGTGTGTCTCCTGTGCATGCAGTGCTGCAGGCCCAGGCACCCCCAACTCACTCAGGGCAAGGGCAGGTGACTCGCAGCTTACACATACATGCACGCAGATGCACACGCGCACACACAGTAACTTTACATTATTAACTGCTCTTCTAGCCATAATTGTGTGACCTACTTCTCCTCACGTTTCTGTACCTGTCTCTCATACCGTCATCGAATACTTATTGAGCACTAAGAATGTGCCAGGGGACTCACAGGTGCCGGGGTCCAGGGGGCTACAACACAAGGTGTGGTATTCTCAGGAGAATGGGGGAATAAGTGAATAAACCACCGTGATAATTCCGAAGAATGACCAGTGCGATTAAGATTACCTGCCGTGGCAATGAGAGAGAGGTGGGTGGGCTGGGGTGGGGGTTACGCTCGCTAAAGGATCGGGAAGGCCTTTCTGCAGGGTCACATCTGGATCCAGAGCTCTGTCAGGACAGCAGCCACACTGACAGCTGGGGGAGAGGGCCAAGCGGCCGAGAGGGAGGCGCCCGCATTTCTGAGGAGCTGCCGGCAAGCTGGAAGAGGGGGGCCAGAGGTGGGGACAACTGTGGGAAAGAGGGCTGCAGAGGGGAACTGAGGCCATGAGGGCCCACGTAGGGGCTGTGGGTTTCATCCCAAGTGCAAAGAAAAGCCGGTGGGGATGTTTTCCCTCTTGTGACAAGTCCCCTGGGACTTGAGGAGTGGAGAAGGCCTGGGAGGAGAGCAGGGCCTGTGGGTTGGCTATTGCAGCAAGCTGAGCACCAGGAGAGGAGGCTGAGGCCAGGAAGAGGTGGGGCCAGACAGTGAGGAGGATGAGGATCGTGTTAGAGCAGAACCAACAGCAGTTGGCCTATGAGTTGGATGTGAGGGGGTGGGGTAAGAAGAGAGAGGAGTCGAGAATGACTCTAGGATCTTCTACAGACACGCAATGCTTTTACAACCAGACCCCCCACTCCCCCCAATTAAAAATAACTACTGAAAAATAACACAGCAGATGAGCCACCCATGGAGACTGCCACACCACACACACACACACGTACACTCACACAGTCTCAAGTCCCCAGGGTGGGGAGGCATCTTTCTTCCCTGAGCCTGTTCCTGCACCAGCGTGTGGTACCCTCCTCAGGTTGACAAGAGACAAGGTGATCCAAGAAGCTGGGGCAGGGCAGGCGGTGAGGGTGCAGAGCAGCTGGCCTGGCCCAGCGCAGCCCCCGCGCAGGCTAGCTGGAGAGTGGGCCTGGGTGGCGCACAGGTGTGGGGGCTGGGGCAGGCGGCAGCTGAGACAAGCATGGGTTTGAGGGTAAGACCGTCCAGGGTTTGAGTTCCTGCTCTGTCCCCTGCTAGCTGTGGGACCTTATTTGGCTTCCCAAGGCTCAGCTCCCTCATCTTTCAAGGGCGACTGCAACCCTCTCGCTGAAAATCCTGATGAAGATCATTGAGATGCTGTATGTCAAGAACCTGCATTTATAAATAAAAGCTTTTTGGCGGAGAGCATGGAGCCTTACAGGCAGGTCCAGTCTGATCCCCAAAGAGGGATCAAGTAGAGAGCCAGCGTCCCCTGTACAGAGTCCTCCACTTGCCTCTTGCCACAGGAATGGGCCAGAGTGGGTAGGAGAGAGAGAGAGTGACCAGACCCTGAGCAGCCAGGGCGTCCTCAGCATCCTCGGGGTGGGCTAGCCGCCACTCAGCTCTGAGGATGGAGCAGCCGCCTCCAGACAGCCAGGCCCACTCCCTGTGCAGAGGGGCTTTGATTCTGTTCACGGGAGTTCAGTCAGGAAGAGTGGCTTAGAACCCATGTCCCCCTGGGGGAACCTCAAGGACCCGGTGAGGACTTCAGGTCCCTGACAAAGACATTTG